ATATACACACACAAGGTCAAACTTGGATGGAAATTGAATGAGAACATTTAATGCCAAAATAGTAACTATGTAATGGAATGAGTTTCATCATTGCAAAAATGAATATCCAATATCTGTGCAACAAATCAAATGACTGACAGATAAAAATCAGGCTGTCTTTATATTTTTGCCCAGATGCATTCAATTCTGAAATAAATGAAACAAAAGTCTCTCAGCCTTAGAATTATTAATATCTGGAGTCAAATAATCAGCTGCAGAATTCCCCTACTTTATGAAATACCATTTGTATTCTTTTTTTTCCCCTAAGTTGTAACATCAAAATTGTCTCTGTGATAGAAAGTGGCATTAAATTGTCCCATGGTTGAGAACTAGGATAACAAATTTTTAAAAAGAGGAAAGTATGATCTAACGGCATTGTATCAGGGATTATACATAAAATGAAAACAACAACTCTGGGGAGTCATCGATAGGAGTCATCATAGTCAAAATCCAGTAGTTTATGAGTATTGATTACATTCTAATAATTAGGTTCAAAGCAAACAACCATAAATGTGGTCAGAAAATAATAGCTATAAATTTAGAGAATGAAATATAACACTTGAACAAATAAAAATTAACATGGTGCCAGAAAACAAGTTGGAGGGAAAAAATGTAACTTCCTCGTAGTTCTTAAAAGAAATTCAATAGTTACGTTTTGTAATGGATGATACTAAAGGATGAACAGTGTAAATCAGTTAGACAGATGTTTTAAAACAAAAAATGTGGGCCAGGGAGATGGCTCAGTAGAATAAGTGCTTCCCTGGCAAGCACAAGGGCATGTCCTGGCTCCGAAAAATAAAAAAAAAAAAAGCTGTAATAGTTTTGGGGTCCTGACCATTAGCACAGTTGTTTAAGTGACTGCTTAAACAGAGTAGTCAAGCTTAGGTTGCTGTGGTTTGATTCCCAGATCCTCAAGCTGTACTAGAAATGCCCTGAAGAGGGTAGGGAAGATAGCTCAGTAGAACAAGTGCTTACCTGGCAAGCGCAGGGTCCTGAGTTCAATCCCCAGTACCGCAAAAAAAAAAAAGAAAGAAAGAAAAGAAAAGAAAAGAAAAGAAAAGAAAAGAAAAGAAAAGAAAAGAAAAGAAAAAAAGAAAAGAATTGCCCTGAAGGCATTTGAGCCATCAAAAAAAAAAAAATCTGAACTTAAAAAAAAAAAAAAAAAGATGTCAAGACGTGTAAAAAGAAGAAAACAGAAGTAGTTCAAGTGTGTTGTTCTTCTTGTTTTCCCAGTGGGACACTGAGACACATTGCATATAGTGGTTATACAAAAAAAAGAGTAAATATAGATACAGAAAGACTCCTAAAAAGAAACAAAAACAGACTACGATGCGTATGTGCACACTCTATTGTACATAAAGCAAAACAAAAGAAAGTGAGATGAGACAAGCACTGACAAATGTCCTACACAGACAGAAGATTGCATTTTCAATATAAACTATATTTTCTCTATTGGTAATATTTTTAATGTATGTATGTGGTACAGGGTCTTGCTACACAGCTTAGACTCATAATGATCCTCCTGTCTCAGCCCCTCACCCCCAGCACTGGGAATATAGGCGTGCTCTGCCACTCCTGGTTTCGGGGACACAAGGAGCAGGGCCTGCACCGTGAGCAGTTACAAGAAAGAAACCTTGGTCGTTGCGCTAGCCAGGCATGTACTTAGACCGCTGAGCTATCTCCCCGGCCCTATATTGGAAATTTAAAAGACAGGTAAACTCAACTATTGAAATGGAAAGACATACTTGGCTAGCTAAATCAAAATTGCTCATCTGTATATTATACAAATGTCACAAAACTAAATATAAGTGTCTCAGGTTAAAAGTAAAAGATGAAAATACTAAATAACTTAAAATTGCGATAATAACTTCAACCAAAGTGGAGCTCTCAGCAGATAACATCAAATAAACTAAAAGTAATTGAATTTATAATTAATATAAATAGAAAAATGTGCTATGCCAACAATATGAATCCTTAAAATACCAAAATGTCATGAAATGCATTTAAATTCCTTTTCTTATTTTTAAAATGTGTCTTTTTTAATTTTTACTTATTTGTATTAATTAAAAAACTAGACTTTTTGGTATTTTGACCTTTTCATTTTTAATACACATTGCAAAAATATTTTAACACAAAAACTCAGTTGAAATCCTGTTCCACAAATTCCATAAAACCTCCATTATGTAATGTAATGTGATTATTGAAACTGTATTGGAAGACTGAAAGAAAAATTCATCCATATCCTAAAAACAATGGCTGTATAAATCAAGTATATCAAAACTAGATGTCATTAAGATCAAGTAACAATGGATGTTGAGGCTGTGCTTAGAGTACCATAGCATAACTGCCCTTAGAGTAGCAGATTCTAACATGTAGGTTTTAACACACACACGCACACGTGTGCGCACATGCGCACGCATTTACATACATACGTGTTTCTGATGGGTTAAGCATAAAGCACCTACTTAAATATACATTTAATTAATACTTTTCACTTGTAGTAGATTTTACAAATTTTAAATTTTTCTGAAAGTGTCATTGCTCTTTGCTTTGTTTTTTTACCTGATTTTGACAAGAGAGTGAGAGAGAAAGAAACAGAGATAGAGGCAGAGAGAGAGAGAGAGAGAGAGAGAGAGAGAGAGAGAGAGAGAGAGAGAGAGAGAGAGAGAGAGA